TTGGGCAACTTTGGGCTGGGCTGGTGATTGAGTAACTGACTGAGCTGGTGTCTGGATGGCTTCACGTCGGATACTGGCATCGACTTCCTGTGCAATGGCAACTGCGCGAGTGTAGGTCTGGACGCCGTGGCCTACGATGTTGTGGCGGACTGCTGGGCGAAGTCCGTCGGTGAAACGGTGGGCTCTCTTTGCTTCCGTACCTACAAGATCTAGTACAAAAGCTCCGAGACGGGTGAACTCTCGTTCGTACTCGTCGACAGTACGGGTACCCTGAGTGAGTGCCAAGAACTGGCGCTCTATGTCTGCTCGGTAATACGAGGGATAATACTTTTCTCGGATCAGCTCCTTGAACTGGTCCCACGTACAACCGTCTTTTTCACCGGGACGCATACTCCAATAGGCTTGCCACCAGAGTCTGGCATCGCCGGTCAGCTGGATCTGGGCACATAACATGCGATAACGATCAGGGCAGTTCATGACCTCGAAAATAATCTCGAGACCCTGAACCCATTTATCTACTACACGAGGATCTCCTTGGCCGGAAAACTTTTCTGGATGGTAGTCGCGGAACAAAGCGACCACTGTGGGAGTTCCTGGTGATCTGGCTCTCTACGAGGAGGCATCTGAACATTGAAATATTTACCATGATTAAATAACATAAGGGATTAACTGACTGATTACTTAAATACACAAATCTTTTGACGAGTCGCTAAATAACCCGAGAATACTAAAGTCGAACAATCAAATAACTAGGACAATCGACCAAGTTCTGAATATACTCGAGCATCTTACTGGTTTCTAGAGTCAATAATCTGGTATCCTCTACTGAGCATAAACTTAAGTATTCATTTAAATATATATAAACTAGAATTCAGCACTTACCTGATAGTCGGCGAGGCGTGAGCGTAGCGTGGTCGGGTCGTTTCTGAAAATTTCTGACTTTAAAAGTATTCGGATACACGAAAATGTGCTGATACCAATTTGTAACACCCCGCTAGCTTTCTAAAATCAGAGTGCGATTTTCGCAAATCCTTTTCTAAAGTTTACGTTTTAATTTGCGAAACATATTTCGGGATGCTACATAAAATATTTCTTTTCTAAAAATCCATTAACTATAAACATATTTATGAAAAATGGATTATCATTATAAAACAAGCGCGTGATACTGTATAAAACTAGACCCGAGAACTCGGATCGTCGTCTGAAAATTTACACGCTAGTTTGAAAGTCTGAAAATGTCAGCGGAAGTAAAACGTGGAAAATATATACATATCAACAATCTGCAAAAATATAAACATATTTACATGTACTGGACCAGCGACCACCAGCTCCACTCACTCCTCCGGACCGACCCTGTCTCTTGAAAAAGAATC